CCCCCCCCACCGCATCTCATGTCCAAACTCCAGTGACAGCCACGTCTAAAGGAACACGATGAACCATTTCAGGAGCACACAACCCACACCCTTCACCAGAATCGCATTTGCATTTGCATTGACGATGATAGGCCCAGACAAGTGATGTTTTGGGTTAGCTAGGTTAGGCCTTAAAGTCAATCCACTAATGTCATGCGCCTAGGCCATGCAAATGCACATCACTGGAGCGAGAGAGGCGAGCAAAGGTGTTAGGCAAGGCGATTTGAATTAAATGCGACAAGCCCACAGTTACCTGACAAGAGAAGAACGAAGAGGTGAAGCCAAATGCATTATATTATGTCAGAGAGTAGGACACACCCTAAAACTCACAATCACCCCCTTCCCCTTCCCACTGACCTAAACATATGATCTAAAAGATACCACAAACAAGGTTAGAATTGTAAAGTGGATACAAAGTCGAGATTTAAAGCACCATTCAGGTGAAAACTGAACCTGAACCAATGCAAGGCATCAAGACGGCCTCCGTGGATGAGATTACACAAGAATGGACAACACAGGATTAATAAGGCGTGCTGAAGACACCCTTGATTGCCTTTATTGCACCCCATCACCTTGGTTGTCAATATCACAAGGAGAATTGTCCACGGATGTCACCATGGGAATGCTCGAAGCGAAGGTCAAGTAGCCGGTATGACCGGTGTCTTTTTGCTGCAAAAGAAAGTAAGATTACCACTATTGGAGTTTGATGGCAGGAGGTCTGGTGAATGGGATGTGCGTGAAGGACGTTTGAGAGGTTGCATTGTGATCGCATGGCCCACTGTAGGATGTAGTGAATGGCATCAATTCGAGTCACATCGCATTAGACCTTTCCATTCAGTCGACAATGGTGACAGACTATACGATTGTACTGCTGCATGTCTTGAAACAACTCAAATTTGCGCTTTCGCACGACTGTTTATTTGGACAATTTAGCAATTCGTATTGCCACCGCTGATCAGTAGAACGCAGCACAGCGGCTACAATCTAACACAGGAATGGGGAAATTCATTCTACCCCTCACTAAACTAGAAATCTCAAATAAATCGAGTTAAATGGTGGTGTTTTCAGTGGAATAATGGGAGTGCCTGAACTACGATGAAAGGGATACACTAATTAACTCAGTTATGTAATGTTCATCCAGACCAGTCGCGTACACAGCTGCCCTAGTGGACTGCAGAATAGGCGTAAACTACACAACAATGCAAGTATTCACTCTTTGAAGCGTTAGCATCAGTCAGCCAAGCCGATGAATGGTTGCTAATAGTAACCGCGCTAAAATGCAGTATCTCACAATCAGGAGATGATACACATGCAACAGGTAGCATAAAACGCTCCACTCTCCCGCCACTATACACACTTTCACATAAACAAAAGGTAGGGAGAGGGAAAGGTTACCCTGGGTAAGGCGGCCCAGTAACCGTATTGACGATAGCCTTGACCGCTTCCCTTGGCATTATCATTTGGAGTGAGGTAGTTGCTGAGCGGAGGAAAGAGATGCCGCTCGTTTCGACGCTGTGATGCCTTTCTCGCCTCGCCATCAGCCTCGGTAGCCTCGGCTGATTGTGTCTTGTTGTACGTGTAGGTACCATTGAACAAATCTGTAGCATTCTCCTGACCTAGGAGTGAACACGCAAAAGGAGTTTGGTTGCGAGAACTGAAAGAGGGGCACCTTAAAAAAGGGTGCTTGATGAGTAACCGGCAGTAAAAGAGAAGCTCCACTCTAAGTCGATTTTGGAGGCCCAAACTGTGTCCACTTTCTAACACGGTCAAAAAGTCAGCTCGTGATGCACATGGCAGGAGAGCCATGATATCAGGACATTGAAATAGTCTCAGTTCTAGAAGAGGAGACCCTCTCCTTCATCTATGGACGACATCACACTGACCCTCTCCATCGCCTGCCAATCAGCTTCCCATAGGTAGAGTGACCATCACAATCTCCACGGCCAATTCCAAGCGAGACATTGGCCTCATCATTCCATCCTTCTTAAAGCCTTGCTTTCGACTTCTCCGCCAAGAGAGATTAGCAAATACTTCCCACAGCCTTGTAATGTGAGACCTTGAATTGATTAATGAGAGAAGAACGCTCTCCCGGCTTCGACTCCAAGGATGATTCGAAAGTTTTTGCTCATACGCGTCTCTTAATTGCATCTGATAAACCACAGCAGCATTTCTCCGATCGTCAGCAGGGAAGCTGCTGGGCATAATTTGGCCCACCGCCTACCACACACAAACCGAGCGCAATTAGGCTGGAGACACAAAATCCCCTCCCCTTTTCACGATCATCAACCACCTTCCTTTGCATTATTCAAAAATCGAATTGTGCCGAAGCGGCCCCAAAATGGCAGGTTTCCCATTACAAGCTATCCAACAGGAAGATAGCAAATGCAACGGAATAATGCAACCCGATGGCCAGGGTGAAAAGCGTTCAACTAACATTGGAACGAAAAAAATTCATACAAAGCTTTACAAATCCTACATACCACAAATTGCATGAAATTGTAAAAAGGTTCCGTAGGGTGCACAAAGGTAGTGCGACGCCTCTTTGCCTACCTAAGAGAATGCACATCTGTTGGGAGTGGCTGAAGTTGTTGCAATCGAATAGAAAAAAAGCGGTACTACTATGTGACTCAGTGGGAATTAAATTTGTGTCGGATGCAAAAGAAACGTCTTACACAATTCCTATCACGAATACAAAGATTTTAAGTTTTTAATGCTCACAGATAACTCAGCTATTTAGGCTGGCGGTATTAAAGCATTCCTGAAGAAAAGAAGGCGCTAAATCAAGACGACGTCCCGAATACAAAAATAAATATCGCTTTGGGGCAAGTAACTTTACAATCTCAAACAATGTCTTCCAGAAACGAATAGGAAAACAATACGATACCGCTATTTCCTCATATCCTAACTCACTCGACCCATAATATCCCCGAGAGGAGGCAAAAGCTTGTCACTCAATTTACAATTAGGTGTAAATATGATGAGCGTCTCACCCAAATTCGGCACATTCAAAACAGTATGCACTGGATCATAGTTCCTTGAAATGCATTCAATCACTTCAATGTCCGAAAAACCAGCCGATCGTAAATTTGTACAAGTCTTCTGCACCTGTTCGATGCACGGCGAGAAAACGCACACTCGACCCCCTGAAATTGAACACAAATGCTACTTAATAGTTTGCTAGTAGGCACACCAACATAGTACCAGATGAGTTGTCGTCGGAGATTTCAGCATTTGTAGTGAAAGAAGAGGGTGGATAAGAGGACGCACCTGATGAGGTGAAGCACTTTGCGATTGTTGGAATCACAATCCATGGTTCAGGTAAATCAATCATGATGGCATGGCAGCCATCAGGATTTAATGGGGAACCAGCCTCAGGAAAGCCGTCGGAGAGAACGTCACGATGCTCCACGCTTACCACATCCTTGAGTCCGTGCTCCTGCGATTAAAAGAGAGAAGTTGAATGAAGTTTCCTGAATTAGCCTAACCCAATGATGGTCGTAGTTAAGCCTTGACAATGAAAAAAAAGAGCAAAACAGTAAGGATCCCAAGACAGAAGGGACAAAAATAGCTCAGATAGGCAATTGGGTTTACAGTACAGAAAGGATGCAACAATCTAAGCAAGTTACATTCACGAATATTCTCACCGCGATGCAAAATTAACTGACTTTGTTGATCTCTATGTGACCTCCTTAGTCGCCAGAAGATGCACCGCTACTTTACCACCACGACCATGGGAAGAGAGAGGAAGAAAAGAAAGGATAACATGGTGAAGCGCATAATGAGCCAAAGTCCTCCAGAAGAAGGACTGAATCTTGCAAATGGATATCATCAAGGTTTAAATTATCAAGGAGTTGAAATAGTGACTCCGTCATTTGCCACCCACTGTTGGAGTGGAATTGGGTGGCATAACGCATCCTTCTTAATCCCTAACCTTCTTTAAAGAACTAAATCAACACTTTAATACGATCAAAAGCTATCCCCGTGGGTGCCAACTCATCCCCATTGATGCAGATAGAATTGGGGCAGATAGACGGCGACAAAAAGTGCCGAAAAAGGCTTTCGATGAGAGGATACAGTGAAAAGATACTGCACCTAGATGCATACTTGACATTTACTACCCTCGCGCCAATATGCCTTCCCATCAGTGCCTTCCAACTAGACCAGGGGTTAACGCCAGACCAATTTTCGTCCGACCACCTCTAAATCGTTGAATCAAAGTGCGGCCTGAAATAATATCACAGGCTTAATGCCTCTCCCCAAGTGTGCCCATAATGGATAAGGTAGCGCACAGGTTCGTTTCTACACCATTTGTCTACGTTTGCAGTCGCATGGAAATTCCAAATCACAGGCAGGTTATTTTAGTACCCCCAAATGCAACCAGTCGGTTCACAAATCAACCTAAGAAAGCAAAAAAAGGAATCCAGTGGAAACAGTTGCAACATTGCTTCAGTCCAACACAACTTCGGATGCCACGAAAGAGGTCACTGCTTGACACTGTTAGAGAGAAGTTCACATCACAAGAGTGTTCAATGCTTGAAAATGCTCATGCCACTATCCTTTCAACCATGAGGATGGAAATGAGGAGTCTGGACAAGAAAATTTGAGACATCAAACTCGACAAGGATGAAAACAGAACAACGTGCAGGTGTTAAGTTAAAAATGAGAAAAAGCACTAATTGACTGTGTCCAATTGAGTCAGGAAGGAGATTAAATTTAAGAAACCAAGTGTCATCACATTTTAGTTCGAGTTTTCGTGGCAAGCCATGTCCAAGAGGTGAGCAGCATCCCGCCATCTCTTTTTTAGGCCTAGAAAGGGAACAAAGTCTCCCCTTGTAAGCATTTATGAGGTGGTAGTGACGGAGGAAGGTGCTCCAAGTGGTGGCAGTCTTGAAGCCTATTTAGTAAAACTGATAGCTCTCCTGAATGCCTAGCTGGTAAATTTGCTCACGTCCCCATTTTTGACAGCTGCAGGTTCACCAAGATCACCAGTGTTCCAATGTCTAGCCCTGAACACACGTGATGACCAGCAAAAGCCCAGCCTAAATGACCTCCATAGTTAATTAAAGTTGCAGCGAGAAAGTTCAGTGACGCGTTGAGATCAGGCACCTTCCTTCAGTCACATAAAGGTGAATTGGCGTGGCTGGATCGTGAGTGCTTTGCTTCAGCACCGATGGGGAGAGCGCCGAGGGCGTCGTACAAGAGAAGCGACCTCTGGGCCAGACCAAAAGCCAACCATTGTGTTTTATACTATCAAACAGGAAGTCATGCAAAGCTACAGAAGACAGCATAGAAAAGCGCCAACCATAGGCTAGGCAATCAAAAAGTACCCATAACGAATGAAGATGACAGGAGTGCCAAAGTGAGCCGAATGGCATTTTGACAACGACGGCACTGCCAGCGCCAGCATTTGAATGCTGCACACAAGAAGAGGTGATAATAGAGGGAATGAGAAAGCCCACTGCCGATAGTCAGGTACAAAAGGAAGTCCAAGTAAATGCGCTGGCCTCCATACACACACATTTAAACACCACTTGTTCCAGTCAGACAAAAGCGAGATTTAGAAGAAGCCATAAAATCGCCTCCCAAAACCCGACTGAAATATGACATCTACATGCAGAGAAGCGTGTGAGATGGAAAAAGGGAAACAAATGAGTAATTACGTCTGATGATTTTTGCGATTAAGTGCTAAAAGGGTGGATGGGGAGGCGGATAGGAAGTGGCATTGACAATTGATGGCAGGCATTGCTACTAGGGACTTTCAGTTCAGTGAGGTTCTAAAACCAAACCAACCAGACTATCGGTGACAGAAGGTCGACTTTTCGGCAGCGCTACGTTCTGTTTCAAAGAAAGTGACCCAAAATACTACATTTGCATCAATAGTTACGAAAAAAGACGTGTTTGGTTATACACCTCCGGTATACCATATACCGAAATAGGAAACTTTCCAACCCAAGTCAGTATTCAACATGTGATAACACTATTTTCAATGAAAACCAAGAACAACGGTGCCAAAATAAATGAAATGTTGTATTTCCAGTGTAAAAATTAACACTCGACATTGGGGATGCACCAAAAATGCACCAATCAACAACAATGTCATCGTAAGTGCTGCCAAAGCCTTGCTAACCAGAGACACATTTAACAGGTATTACAGTCGATTGCAGAATGAAATCTGAAGAAGGAAAAGACACTGCTGGACTGATTATTCACAGTTTGACAAACATGAAAACCCAACTGACATTTTAAGGTGTCTGAAGTGCTAGGCTGGATATAAACGACCCTCTCGATACTTTCAGCCAATGGTTTTAGAGAGGAAAGTTTCCTGCACACAAATTGAAAGTGATCCAAGTGGCTGGCTAACACTGACCCTCTGAAATGACCCAAAACTCAGATGGGCAAACACAGACGGGGGGAATACCGACATTAACAAACAAGGGTATTCAACAGCCGATGGTCACCAACTGGCAACACAGAGAGCAAATATCAAGAAATGGAAAAAATACCGAAGTTCGAACCTCAAACTCCATAATGGCTCGTCCCACGCGCTCCTGATGAAAATCAAAGGTAAAAACATGGCCAGTAGGCCAGACTGCCTGAGCCAAAGCATGCGTAAGAGCACCACTGCCCGTCCCAGCTTCTAGCACCCGGCACCCGGGCACCAAATCCAGCTGCCCGACGATCATACTGGCATCGATGGGGTAGATTATCTGTGTGCGATGAGGCACAGATATTGCCCAGATAGCCGGATCCAGAGCAAGAATAACCACTCGACCTACAGAGGTGGCTATCTACAAGATGGGTGAGACATTAGTGGATTTCTCGGATCATATTTGAAGACGAAAATATTAAATAGGAAAAAACGAGCCCTCAAAAATCAAACGTGACGAAGGCGTAATAAACGCCTTTGTCTTGAGTTACCACATATAGCGACACTTCTAGTTCCCGAAGGCCCACTTTGCAGACTGCTCATGAAAAATGGCGTAAGCAAAGTGTGTGGTAATTGGTATATATATCAAACAAAACTGTAGAATTCACCTCCATCAACGATTGTATTCCGTCCCTAGAGTAACCAAACTCTCATACACTTTAAAAATGCGATGCACTGAGTAATGTATAAAAGGTGCTGATAATAAGCTCGCACACCATGAGTCGACAGCCTCCATGTCATAACGTGCATAGTTGCAAAGATGAAGCTGATCTCAATTATGCCGAATGACAAACGCACAATGAGGGTATTCTGTAAGCCGAAGTTCAAAAAGCTTTGACACATGGAAAGGGCCAAAAGCAAAGAACGAGCAACAAGTGTAAGTGAAATGTAATAAAAGCAAAAAAGGGAATTTTTGGAAACGTCACAAACAAGAACGTTGTAAAAACTGCCTGGACTCCGAACGGTTGGAAATCATCACAATTTCTTATTTGATCATGCAATGCAGCTACTACGCATTTAGCTGGGGATAAAATATGGAAACTGACGAACTCAAAAAATCGAGTACAAAAATAACAAGCATTAAATCCATTGAACATGCAATTAGTAATAAGAAAATTGTTCTCTAATGAAAAGAATTTTTGATGTCAACACCTAATGCTATTTGCACCAGCTCCACACTCTATTTAGGTTACTTTTATGAAATTAGTGAATTATAGGCAAACGGCTGCCAACTACAGTTTTATATTCAGTAAAGTGGTTAAAATGCGAAAGAAACACCAACCCTACTTCCATACGGTTTGCCAATAACGTCGTTGTGCTTTATGGCACCGCATTTATTTTGGGTAGTGGCTCCACGACGAAGCTTGATAAGCTGAATCTCGTTTTTGCAATAAGTAACAATGACGGTGTCACCCTCAGCAGCTATGTTCTTACGGAACGGTCGTTTGAGGTGCGAAGGTGTTGGACGTTCACTCGTTTCCAATTTATGATGAGACTCCTGATCAAAAAGAAAATCACAAGTGTGATGAGGGTGACCATGTAAAGGAGCTATACACTAGAGGATGATAGAGCTGACTTATAACAATCAACATGGAGTTTAAACTAAACAGCCATCAGATAAACACGGTTTTGCAAAATCTCAAGAATATGGATGTTGATACTCCACAGCAGGGAATTCAGACTGCTATGTAAGTGTGAACTTTGCAATACAGGCTACAAGAAAGTGTAGAACGACATATCGCATTAACGAAAAGACCACAAGCATGCAAAACTACGATGTGCTAAAACCGAATAACCGCTTGGTTTTGGAGCAAATAAAACAAACCACCGCCTGATTCAGAATTTTTATTAGGACAACACTTCAAAAATCAATGTAAAACCGTGAACTTCCATCTCTATAAACACACAAGTTAGTCTCCCAAGTGTGAATGATACAACTGCTAATTATGCACGGCAAATCATCTATTCATAATGTTGTATACTAGACCAAATTATAAGGTTTAACTAAGTTTTAATTTAAAAATTGATTTTATGACCATAAGTTGGCTATTTGACGACGTTTCTCCAGGACATATTAAGCAAGTTGAAAGTAGTTAAAAATCTACATGATGTGCAAATGTTATTTCATGACTTATCCTTCGCTTATATAGCGTTATAAAAATAATTTTAATTCCCATAAATTCCACGAACTTAACTATTGTAAGCAAACACTCATTACTTTTTATTCACGTCAAACCTTGAAGCATTTTAATTCATTAGTATTATTTACCATCTGCTTTGAGTCTCAATTGGATTGCGACCTATTGGCTTGTAAATGGTTGTATTCTAAAGACAATGGTAAACCTGACAACGAGGAAGAAAGTTCGAGCACCTGGCACATTCTTCGCAAATGTGCGCTACAAGTTTGGGATCTACTTTTCTTTGGTCAACTATATACTGATTGTGGTATCTTTCGTCTCACCGTATTGGCTTCAACGATGGCCACGCATTCACACTCCTTTTCGAAGACTCGGTCTTTGGGAATTTTGTCTTGACGGGTATATAGTGAGATTGGATCCCAAAATGGTTTCGCATTTTGAATGTTGGTGGATTTTTTCTCCATATCTTTCCAAAATTTTCGCAAATCTTGTCCCTTGTAAGTATATTTCAGTTTTACACTTTGTAGGGTGGTTCATTCTTATCCAAATACTCTTTAGCATTGCTCTTTTTACACAAGCTATCCTACACTTTGTATTTATATTTTACTGGTGCTACCCAATCGAGAACATCGAAAGGCGTCTACGATTTTTGAAATTCGGCGCCATTTGCCACGGAATCACACGTAAGACTCTGCTAGAAAGCTTATTTTGAGTGTTTTGTTTGCTTCCTTCAGTTATTATTTTCGGCGTTGAACACAAAAATCCGAACTGGATTCCTTATCCAACTCTGAATTGGGCTTCCTGGTCCTATGGTCTGGCAGTTCTATCGACATTCCTTTCCTTATTTGTGATGCTTGCCTTTGCCTTTACATGGAGAGAGTCAAAAAGAACCTTAGAGACCGCTGGATATGAGTTTCCTATGTCGGCTGTTATGAAGAAACGCGAAAAGCAAACAATACTGGAGCAGCAGGAAAGACAGGTTACAACGATTGGTTTGGAGCAACATGAGACGAATTTGATAGCACGGCCGGAGCAGCTACAATCATCTATCAATGAGTAGTCTTGTAAAACATGGGTGGGAAGATTCTAGTTTCTTCCGTTGCAATGAACACGATACTATCCATGAAGAGGGTGAATAGTTAAATTTGTATCCGTTTTTTACTCTGAATTTAAGGCTAGTTTTTGAACGCAAGCTCGTTTTTGTCAGTGGGTTGGTGGGATGAATGATAGAACAAGCCTTTTTTAAAGTGCTCTTGCATTCGACACCTCTGCAATTTTCAATAAGAAAAGTTTGTCAGAAGCTGCATCAGCAGTCGCAACAGTTCGAATGGACTGTTTTGCCGTGCTTCAATTGTTCAGCTTCTCAGACTTTGGCGTCGTTGCATCGACAGATATACTTAATCGAGGAAAGGTAGCATTTTGAGGTTTGATAGGTCACCAGTCTTTGCTCAAAACTACACTGCGAAAGGACTTTAGGAATACATGAATGACTGCGCCCTGAAATCTCCGCGGGATGATGCAATGGAAATGATAAGCGTGTCATTAGCACAAGCTTGAGGAAGCCATGTGTGAGATCACTCCCGTTCGATGTTGAAAGCATAATGCACAATTGTAAGCACAAGACCAGGTCGTGGGAATAAATGTACAAAAGGCAGAATTTTAATAGCTCTCAGTTCCCTTAAGGCTTTATAACCTCCATAAAAGAGACACTAACTGTGCCTGTTTAACGGTCCCAACCCCGTACGTTGGTGAACAGTGACTACACCAAAGGTTGATGTCTGTAAGCCCTTTGTCGTAAATCTGGTTGTTTTGATAGCAACATTTTAGTGAGTGTGTTACAAAGTGCTCGCTTTCATTCTCGGCATTTAGAGAATGAAAGTGGTAGAATTAGTGTCAGACCGACCAAATAATTACCGAAAATGGGGGTTTCAATGAATGTGAGCACTTTGAAACGTGAATGCACCAAAGTTTTGACCTCAGTATAACCAGATTTACGACAAAGGGTTTACAGCCATCACCCTTTGGCGCGGTCACTGTCCGCCTCCTGGTAGACCGGGTGTACAACCTTTTATTAAATGACCAATAGAGTGATCGCGAATGCTGGACGGTGATTGGTTGATTTAGGAGTCCTGTATCAGGGCCTAAGTTTTGTGACTCAGAATGCACTTTGACTCTGTGGTCGATGGACTTGTGTGACGTATGTGTGGTGGGGACACCAGCCGACATGGCTGTGCTGTGACCTTTGTGAATGGCATTGAATTGGTTGTTGAAATGCATCTCCTCCCCATAATGTATTAAGATCTTGAGCATTCTTATGAGTACTGGACGTCATTGTTCAGCCATATGGTTAACTCAAAACCTTTCAGAATAGGCTTACACTTCCAAACGACTCAAGTAAAAGCGAGGAATCTACTAATGTGCAGTATCCCACGATTTTTTATACTATTTAATGAGATTTTTTAAATAAATCTCCTCTCTGCAGTGCTGGTCGCTGGCATTTAAAGCGGTACGGAGGACCTATCCTCGATTGTTTTATTTGAATTTCGCTGTGCTTGAAGTGAAGAGAACAAGGAAGTATTTTAAGTTAATGGGACAAAACTTATTTAATTGAGGCTTTCATTGCTAGAGTAGTAGACTTTTATGACCGTTGTCGATAAAAATAATAACTTGGCCATCCCAGAGAGCGCATTCCTGCTGACTGACAAATGCTAAGTGGTCAGGTCCCAAAATCAACATTGTGAGAACTTTTAACTACTTGGAATTGTCAGATAACATCCGCTCTCTTTCAGTTTGTTAAAACGGCTTTAGTGGCGTATCAACCAAACAATGTTTAACCACTTTGCCATCATTTTGTTCTCTTCGCTCCTTACAGCCTCAATTTCTAAGACACAGGCGATGTTGTAGTGTCGGAGTTGGCACTGCAGGAATCAATGTGGAGTAGAGCAATCCCTTAGGTCAGTGCTTAGCAAATACACGCTCTTGCCTCCGCTTTAAGATTCCGTATAGAAGTGGACGCTTGATGCGTCGGGATTGCGCTACTTACAAGAGGTGCAAAAAAGGCATAAATTTTGTGGTAACTCGTTGACGATTGACGATGGTACGCATTTAGAACCTACGACTCGCTTATAATTATAAATCTGACACCTGGTATCAATTTACCAATATAATTTGGACATTCGATGCGGCAGAATCGCCCTATCTGCAGAAGTTGGGGTTAAACGCTTCAGTAATAGGGTTTTATCTCAATGGTGGAATTTAAGTAATTGTCGTAAATATTTTCTACTAATAACTATAAGTAGGACTTTAATAGTAAATTATGACTAATTCAAGTTATAGTGACGCTGACATTACTAACCAGCTACAAATGGATTCTGGAGGTCTCGCAACAATTTTGAAGCCATTTCTGTGAAATCTTTTTGTGACATCATGATTTTCATAAGTTCTAACAATTCTAGCTTGCCGTAAACTGGTGCAGTACACGCTGAGGCCCTGAGACTACATAGTCGCTAAAGCTCGGTTCAAAATGAGCTAAAGTTGTGCTGCTTTCTAGCCATTTGTCAGGTTTTGGATCTGACTGCATTATAATTTGTAATCTTGTAGAGCTTAGTCTTAGCTTATCGGCGTGGCTTCCAGACGCAACCAATAACCTTGATTTAACCGTTCACGAGCAGTGACAGCAAACGTACTTTCGGACTTCTAACCGTGGCAAGGAAAACCAAGTTCGACACAATGGTGCTTCTGCAAAACATGGTCAAAATTTTTACTAAGACATATCTCTCCCAGCTAAATAAGGAAAGCAGCAGATGTGGGCAGCGTTGAAGAGAGAAAAAAGTAGCAATAGTGTATAGATGCAAAACTGCATTCTTCCCAAGACTATTCCGACATTCACTGTTGCAATACAAGCTTCCGACTTCATGCCAGCTGGCAGTAAACACTTTTGTAAAACCTGGATAAAACTTCAGTCCTGCCTCCATCACTAGACTTCATCATAATCCGATTATCTCTGCAAATGCATGCTGTATTGGTTCGTAAAACACTGTAATTACATAGTTCTATTCTACTTGTTTAATTTTGGGTCTAATAATCCTCTATTAGCCTTAACTATATTCGAATTTTTAGGTCGCTGAAATCATTTCAGTAGACGCGCACAGTTTAAAACTGAGATTAATGCGTGATTAGCTAATCCTTCCTTCTTAAAGCAAAGAATGATACATGCACTTCTATACCCACACAAAGTAGATACCATCGTGTTTGATTCAAATGCCTGCTTCCATCCAAAAAACGAGGCATTACACCTCCCTAGATAGCTGTTTATCTATCCTCCTGCGTTCATTCGTTGGCATTTGTGTTACGAGGTCAAATGAGTCGTCGTAGCAATTTTCTGTAAACATCTGCCAATCACAGTGACAATTTGAATCCCATGTGTACCCTAAAAACCACTTAGGCATCATTGCGCTCTGGTGGACAGTTATTCCAACCATCTAGCCCAGTCCATTTCATCATTACACTCTGCCAATGGCGTCAACCACGTGGATCTTGTTGGCCCTTCTAACACTGACTTTTGTTGTCATTGCTGTGGACTTGAAAGCATTTAGGGAGTGTTTAGAGGTCTGTAATCAACGCTATAAGCAGTGCCTTAGGAAGACGGAGGGATTGTGGAGAGACTTCCACAGGAACACAAACAACATAACACGAATCGCGAACCGATGCTGCCTCTATCGTGCCAGCTCCCGGCGAGGCAAAGAGACAGATAGTCTTGGTGCCTGCGCTAGGATACGTTGCAAGGCTGCGCTTTGGGGGTAAGTCCTGAAAACCTTCCATGCACCATTGTCTTAACCAGATGCACTACAATTAGACTTTTTTTGCCTTCTCCTTTTAAAATTCGAGTAAAACTGACTCGCTAGTGGAAAATTTGTCGGTCAGTGAACCCATTTGACTGTTCCACTCTCATAAAAGTATATTTGTTGCCTTTCCAATGGTTGTGAAGGTGGATTGCCACCCTCTCATGGCAGCGTAGGTCTCAACTCGAGTTTGTACAGTTCAACAGAGCAACAGGGAGACAAACGCAGTGCTAGTGACTTTCTAGAGCACAAGAAATCCCTCCAAACCTACTCCACGCACCTAGGACGTAGTTGGCAACACGAACAATGGAGTAGTTCGTGTTCTTATTACCTTGATTTTTCTAAATAAGTACGAGTAAGCGTGTGTGAAAACAATGACAACTTACAAATCGCTTTTCAAATTTGCAGTTGCGAAATAAGAAAACGACATCAAGGCGAAATCTCGCAGTCGGAGAAAGAGCACCTTGCAGAGGAGAGAGAAAAAGGTGGCCATGCCTATTAAGTCCCTTTTCTACAAAAGGAACTACATGATCCTCCCTTCCTCCATTCCTACTATATGATTAAGGCCAATTGACAGCATTAAATTGCAAATTTAAATAAAAATTGCACTCCTCTGACACCTT